TTGAAAAAGAAAAGACAAACATTTCTAATAAAAGTTAATTTTTCTTGAAAATTCATGTCTGTTTTGTAAGCATTAAATTTATTTAGACTTATACCTCAATGTCACTGAATCAGTTCTCTAAAAAAATTTTATGAGAATGTTACTTATATAAAAGTGCTTGTAATATTTTTCACTTTGGTCCTGGAATTTAATTTTTGTTTGTTTAATAACTGTTACAAAACTTGACATGATTTCTAAGCTTCAAATCAATACAATTTTCAATTTTTATTATGTTTTCTTGTACAATAAAGTGTTTTCATGACCCAACACAACTTAAGTTGCAAGGCTGAGAAAAACAAAACAAAATAAAAACAGATGCTAATAGTTTATATCATTGAGAAAGACCCTCTAACTTGGAACAGTCCATGCCAAAGTGGGATGTGTGGTTGGTAAGTCTATTATATGAAAAGGAAATAAACTTACCTTATCTATATGATACATTTTTGAGTAATTTAAACAATCATTGCAGCAAATAATGAAAGTCACCTGCATTCAAATATCACTTTTGCAGCAGCTGCTGTTAATTTAGTTGTCTGCAGATCTTAGTTTTTAAATAGTAAATGGAAATTACCTGACCAAAACTTAAACTACCTGCAGCCTGCTATGTTTGAAATAATTTGGAACATATTCTTCAAATATTATGAAATGCATGGGGAATGTCACCTCCAAAAAATACATGTCACTGATGAATTAGTCAAAACATGAAGATTGGCAGTTTTATTTTTGTACATCTATTGAAGTTTATGATAAAAGTTGTTTTTGATAACAGTGTAAAATCTTTAATATTTTTTCTTACTTTTTCTTTCAGTTCAATTGGAGAATGCGTGCAAACTTTATTGCAGAGCATCACAAGGAATGGATTATTATCGTCTCAAAGATCAAGTCATTGATGGAACCAGATGTTCGGAAGAAACTTTTGATGTCTGTGTTGCTGGCAAATGTCAGGTAAAATTTTTTTTTTGCTTTTCCTTCCATTTTACATTTTAATTGAAAAAAATTATCTAAAATAAACTGATCATCTAAATTTGTTAATTTAATAGGGTATCTTTCATATTGTTGCTTTTTTTTATCAAAGTGCTAGCATCAATTTAGAGTCTATGCTGAAGAAAATCGGTATGGATTATAAAATAAAGAGGTAACGTCCAAAAAGTTTTTGCTTGTGTTTCATATCCTTATTTTTATAGACTCCCAAGAACAAAGGGATGTAAGTTCTGATCTAAGCATTGCAATAGAAAGCCACAACAAAATGAAATATAAAATTAATAAAAATAATTCAACATCTGTCATCAGTTTCATTTAAGCATAAGATATGGACATTACATCTGTAAAGAATTGATAATCATTTCTATTCTACAAATGAAAAATCAGAGAGAAGAGTTTCTTTAGAAAGTGTATAGTTTAAATTTTATTTTAAAGATAAATTGATTCATTCATTTTGATAAATTAAATTTTAAAAAGTAATTTGTGTGTTTGACCTCCACTTTCAAAAGGAATATGTTTTAGAAGATAATCTAAGATATTTGAGTATAAAAAAAAAAACTTAATGTACATGATTTTGTATTTATATTTAAAAATCTGATATATACAAAATAACTAAAATTCACTGAAACAAAATGTTGTTTCAGTCAGTCTTATGTTAATTTGTAATTTTATTTAATTGAATTAAAACAGAATAATGAGAAGTGAAGGTTGAATAAATATCCTTTTATTTATAATGAAAAAAAATATTAAACCTTTTTTTTTTCCTTCTTTGTCTAGAGAGCTGGCTGTGATTTTCAACTTGGTTCTAACATGAAGAGAGACCGGTGTGGTGTCTGTGGTGGTGATAATTCATCATGCAGGACTGAAACTGGACGATTCTCTTATGCCAAATATGGTAATTTTTTATCCATCTTGTATTTTAAAGTCTTAATTTTGAAAAAAATGTTTATTCTTTCTATGATTAGTATCTGAAACTTTTCAGGAACTTATATCGTTTAATACTTGGATGCCTTCTCTTTTATTAATTTTGTAAAACTTGCAAACCAATATTCTAATGCCATCCGAAGATTGTAAACTACTCAAAATGGAATTCTTTAATGCCTACATTTTTATTACTGGTCAGTGTTTATAGTACAGAGTGCATCAAAAATACCTCCATACCCTGTATTAATTGTAAGACAGAAAATAAAAACCCCTTTAAAAGTCATATCAACATAACTTTATATACTATAATCTTTTTTTACATTGTAGGTTATAATAAAGTTGTGGATATTCCTGCTGGAGCTGCTAGTATTGAAATCAGACAACATGGTTACCAAAATAAAGTTGATGAGAACTACCTTGGTGAGTTCATCTTTCTCGCAATTGTTTTTTTTTTTATTCACAAAACAGGATTAAGTTAAAAAATACAACCACCTGTGTTTGGATTTTATAATGTAACTAAGATATTTAAAGAATTTATTTTTTTGGTTTGGTTCTTTCCATCTTCATTGCTGAAGATCAGCGACCATGGACAACTACTACCGTCTTGAATTCAGAGTTTTCTTTATCCAAGACTAATTGCCAACCATGGCTAGAGAGGTAATCTATCCTGCTATTTAACCCATAGCTATAGGGAGAAGATATGGATTCATATCTTTCCCAAGGGTATTTGTGTGTAAGTGAATGTAACAAACTCAAGTGGAATTTGAACTCGGCTCTTCAATTTTTCATTTTAAGTCACAATCCACTGCACTATCTGCACATTCTTTTGTCCATGGGAGGGAGTGATGGTAGATCCCAAATCTTCTTTTGACTTTTGATCATTACTCAAAAGAAGCTAGTAACCAAACATATTTGCCTGAATAGTACCTACTGTTTTATTAGAAGGAACTGTTTACATTACTTACAAGTTGGCCTAACATCCTCATCTTTCTTACTATCATAATGTTTTGGACAACTATAAATAATATAAACAACTTTTTGTCTTAGAAATTTAGACAAATAGAGTTGCTTAGAATAACAGAATATACCCCGCTGTTTAGTCTATGCAGATTTTTGTTATGTCTCTCTGGCTAATTTTGTTTTTTCTTAAAATGTTTTTTTCAGCCCTGAAAGATTCAAATGATAAGTTTATTCTCAATGGTGACTTCACTGTGAAAAAATTTCGTCACAGATTCAAAGTGAAAGGTGGCAGCATTGAATACAGTGGTTCCGTTAGCCCTGTGGAGCAGATTAATTCTTCCAGCATTATTGATGAACAAATTACTGTTTTTGTGAGTGAAATTTAAAATAACCTTCACATTAAGCAATGTCATGAGAATTGTTTAATGAAATATTTTTTTGTGTGTATGTATATTCTCATTATTTAACAATCCCACAAAGAACATTTATATTTTTTTTAATCATTTCACCCCATGCAAGGTAATGAAACTACTAAGACAAGGGATTACTGAGCATTAGGGAATAGGAAAAAAAACACTATTAAGGACATTAAAAGAACTATCAGTCTCACACCAACAAGTAAGGGTTAACAAGCTTGTCTATCAGATCATTACTTCTGTCTAGTGAATTTAAGTCTCACTGAGTACCCTACATTTTTGGCCTTGTGCCAGAATAAACTCTTCTTAGTACATATACATATTATTTCTTGTAACATTTTGTAGGAAATATGAATATGCTTTAAACTGTAAAAAAAAATAATTAGTATTTAGCCACAAGATAGATTTGATAGTCTTTTTAGTAGGATACTCTTGTGTCCAATTTAACATGATTAAATTATTTCCTTCAAGACTCCCCCCACTCCCGATTGTAATAAGTTTTTGGTACAGCATGCTTATTTTTCAAATGATTTTCTCCATGGCATGATTATTTTGTTTCAGGAATGAAATTTTTCCTGCTTACTATATAAGTTGAAAAATTCCCACCTGCTATCTATTCCAGATGGCACTCATATTTGGTACCCAAAAAAGGTACCCACATGCTTTTATTCACAAAACTGTAGAGATTTTCAATTTTGTTGTAAACATTAGGATATTTCTTTGATCTTAGTCTCTTTTAATATAGTAGGGAGTATTTTCTGAGAGAAATCTCCAGGAACTAGCATTGGATGGCCAGAACCTCCACAAGACTAAATAGAATAAATGGCATTAATCAAATATTGATCACTAAATGTTTATTCTTTATTTTGATGTGTGAAGATATATGATGTGTAAAAATATAAATATGAATGTATTAAATAAAGTTATAATTAAGGTAAATCTGGATACCAACTAACTACCATATTTTCTTGTGTACAATATGACCTTGTGCTTCTGAAGCTAAAAACAGGGAATAAATTACATCCTTGAATATGATTTGACTGTATAATTTTTTTTTTTTTTAAGTTGTACCATATTATCCATTAGCATCTCAATATTGTAGATATATTTCACTAAGATATTTAATTTTTCCCGATATTAAAGAATAGAAATGATCCAAATGTTTAGCCATTGTGTGTTTCTTCTCCTAATTTCTGTTTCAAGACTTATTTTCAGGGAAAGGTGCTAACTAGATATACCTTGTAATACATTTTGACGTGTTAAATCTATATCTTAAAGACATTCTATCTATATGTTAAATCTATCACGCTTTTCTGCTTGATATGACTTTATTATATTTGTGTATATTAATAAATTATGGAAATAAAAAATATTGTCTTTCATCAAAAATGAAGAAAGAAACAAATATTGCTGACTTATCAAATACCTTTTGTAAACAATTATCATCACCATCTGCGTACTTCATGTTTTATCTATTGTGCTAATTGAGTGTATTTGCAATATTGCTGTTTCAAATACGTTTTTTTAACCTAAGTAAAAATTCCTGAAAATGTGTATTTGTTTAATACAACTCCTCTTTTTATCTTTAATTTTCATTCAAAGTTTCTTGTCTTATACACAAGAAAATATAGTATCTGTCTATATTTCTGAGATGAGGTGTTATGTACATTATTTACATTATTTGGACTATTGTCCTCATCTTTGGCCATATTTATTACAACGTTTCGGCCGTTGTACACTCCAGCCTTCTTCAGGTGGTTGGAATGTCAAACTGAACCCTTTATCCACTGTGCCATGTGTCCTTGAGGACAAATATTGTGACAAAGATGAGGACAATAGTCCGAATAATGTAAATGATATACAGCCAACTGACAAGACCCAAAGAGTGTGAGTTCAATACCCAGTTAAGGCAGTGGAGAACTTTCAGAGGGAAAATTAACAGGAGATAACTGATAACTGACATCCATTAAAACATGGCACGTGGAACTAGAACATTCTACCCCAGTGAGTGAAATAAAGGGTTCAGTTCGACATTCCAACCACCCGAAGAAGGCCGGAGTGTACAACGGCCAAAATGTTGTAATAAATATGGCGACAAAGACGACGACAATAGTCCGAATAATGTAAATAATGAAAATATAGTAATCTTGATATATGATTAAACACTTGTTTGTTTGTGTCTGTAATATACCAGGCAAATGAAAACAAATGATAAAGAAAACCAAAGATATTCAATAGAAAAAAATATGTATATTTTCAGAAGGATTTGTACATTTGGTCAACTTAGAAAAAAAATAAATTAAAAATAAATTCATTTTTGTTTTATTAATGTTTATTTGTTTATAATTTCAGTATTTGTTTCGCCCACAGAAAACGTCTTCAACTTGAGTTTCTGTTTCTATTCTCTTTCGCAAACAAAATAAAAACAACTTAGATTTACTTATTCCCATCTTGAGAATTATGAAGTTGTTGTTTTCTCATTCTTGAAAATATTCTTTTAAAAGAAGACTTGACTTCCCACCCTCTACTATGTCTGAACCCTTCATTCAAAACCTTTAACCTTCCCATGGGGCCCATTTGTCCCATATTCCAACCTAGTCTATGGTAGTAACTTTTGTATTATTACTGCCACACTTTTTCTTTAATGGGAGGTTCTGCTTTCACTAATATTTGTTTATTTTTGCTTTTTTTAAAGAATAATGATTTAGTGACTTATTGAATTGCTATCCCATTAACCTTTAACCTTTGTTTTCTTGTAGGTGTTGTCTGTAGGTCAGCTTGATCCACCAAATATTCATTATTCCTACAGTATATCAACTGGAAACAATGTCAAATATTCATGGAATGCTCTTGGCCCTTGGGGTGACTGTGATAATATTTGCCAAGGTAAGTGACATTGTGGCAAATGTATTCAGATCAAAAGGTTACAGAATAATTATTTTATCAGAAACTTTACAAATAAAACAAACTGATTGAAGGGTTAAAATAGATAATATATTTTTATTTATTTACTTTAGAGTGATGAGTGAGTCCTTTGGCATTCAACATAGCAAAAAGTTTAATAAGGCAGATATTGGTAGCAGTCTGGAGAAAGGTTAGGTAGTTGTGTTTTGAAAACCACAATAGGGGTAGTAGTAATATCAGAAATTAGGTTAATGCCAATCAACTGTCTTTTTCATGGCTCTGAGCAGAAATATCAATAACAAATGGCCTCTTAATTGATTCTTCATGCTTTACGTATGGCTGGTTTCTTTTGTTTCATCCTCTCCTGCTGTCCCTTCTGCCACTATACCAGAGGTGTCAGGTTTATCTCCTTTTGACCAGGCTCAAGAATTTGGTGCAAACATTGATTGCAGCTAACATCAAAAAGTCTCTTGGTGTCAGTTTTTTTATTTATTTTTTTTTTGGGGGGGATTCACTACAAGATTATCTTGAATTTACAAAAATACTTCTTGAGAATAAATAAAAGAAAAAAAAATAATTCTGGTAACTAAGTAAAACTTACTTTTAGTATTATTTACCAATGAGAAACTAACATTACCATCATGCTCACAGTTTCTTAGATGAGAACTTTACTCTATACATAGTTTCTGGTCTCCACTGTATATATTTTTCATATATTTTGCACTCAATATAACCTATCATATCAGATAGCATTTATTGAATACTCCAAAACCTTCAGTCATGCTTACACACACTCACACACACACACATATATATATATATATATATATATATATATAAGGAGCAAATAGGAATGGTTTCTAAATTTAACATATTTCATATTTTATTAAAATTTCATATTTTTTAGTATAGAAACATGTTATATTTATAAAGGTTTTCTATTTTGTTTTTTATCCTATCATTCTGTTAGGTTATATATACACACACACAGAGTTGCCAAAACATGATTCTATCTGAACATAGATCTTGTTGCAGACTTAATTACACAATCAGTGTCTGCCATCATTGTTTTAGTTACCTACTTATACAGAGCCAATCATTTGTTTTAAACTTCCAGCTAAAAGGAGATTAAAAACTGTATAACAACATGATGCCTTTTTATGGCTATTGATGTCATTATGGCAACTATTTGGCCCTCTTTCTATCTCAATGTGCAAATATGGATGTATAAGTTGGAACAAAGCTAATTTTAACATTTGTGCTATTTACTTGCTTTGTTGGCACAAATATGCTGGAGTTAAACTGGCATCATTTTCTAAAATGCAAATTTACTTTTTCTTAATTTTGCATTTTTCTTTTCTTTTTCTTTTTTATTTACTGATAGTTCATTCAATACCAGATCAACAGGCCACTCAAGTTAGAGGGTTACTGAGTGAGATTGTTGTGAGGGAGAGGGAAGGAGGAAGTAAGAAATCCATATTATGAGGATGTGTAGGATAGGTATCAATTGAGCCTCGACTTAAAGAGACCAAGATTGTAATTTTCAGGGAAGCATCCTCTTGAGTGTCTGTTCCACAAAGTAACAGTTGTGGGGAAGATGCTCTCTGAGTGGAACTTGCTTCTTATCAAAGGAACACAAATAGAATGGGGTTGATTTGCCACCATTGAACATACCATGGCAGGTCTTAGTTGTGAAGGTCTGGAACTAAGGAATGTAAATCCTCTAAACCACTGCCACAGTAATAGCAATAGAGTAGGGAGGGGATAGCAACATTTCATCTTTGGGATAAGGGTTGCAGAGTGGAGAATAATTCATCACCCACAAAGCGCTTTCGAATTCTGTTTAGATGTGGCAGCAATAATCCATTCTTGGTTTGATCTGAATCTTGTCAAAATAAAATATGGAAGAAGTTAGGTATATTCTGGAGTGATAAAAGGAACCAACCATTCTTCCAGTATCTTTTGTGATGGCACCAAATATGAACATTCCATTTGAGGTCAGGAGTGAAATTTAGACCCAGCAGGTGTTTAAAGGTATGACCACTAATCAGAAGGCATCTATTTAGCCATTTTAACTTGTGAATTCAGTTTAACTCAAGGACCCATTCTTTAAAGTAAGCCACTCTTGTTATTTTTGTACTTCATCTGTAATTTAGTTTTTAAACAAATACCAATTTCTTTTATTTAGCTCAGGGGTCCCTAAAGTGATTGATATCAACCCCTGGGGGTCAATAATGGATTGATAAATAAATTGTGGTCATTTATGACAAACACCAATTTCCAACCAAGTATCAATGCCCTTGTTAGTCCTCATCAAGCATATCCTTCTCATTAATGATGCAAACAAATTCAATAAAAAAGTAATTTATTTTAGACATGTTTATTATTATCTTTATTATAAAGTTTTTCTGATTATTATCATTCAAACAAACATGTCTAGTATAGGAAGTGAAATACAAATTTTAAAAAGTAATAACTAAACATAAAGTTAAAATGAATCTTATCAAAAAAACAATGAAGGAAATGGGTAATAGAATTATTTATTTATTTATTTATTTATTTTTATATATATATATATATATATATAATCAATATTTTTTGTATATGATCAAGTTCAATGGTTTAAAAAGTTTAAGGACTGCTGATTTAGCTAATCTTTGAGTTCCTTTGTAAGAACATTTAATATACAAGAATCCCTCGATTAGTGTATCTAATGTGTACATCAGTAACTAAAAAAAATCAATTTTCAATTATTATGGTTAAACTGAAGAATGTTTTACCATGCTAATCGAGTATTATGTATGCACTGATCAAATTTTGGTATATGAAAATTTTAGTGCATTAATCAAAAATGCATTAATCAAATGTGCATTAATCAAAGGATTCCAGTACTGTTTAATATACAATTAATGTATTTGTTATTTTTCCAGACAGTATATATTTCTTTTATCCCCTTTTAGGGCAAAAGAAATTATATACTGTCTGGAAAAAATTAGGGAGAGAATCTGCCTTTAAAAAGCTGTTTCACATGGATTTATTTTATGCCACCCATTAATGGAATTTCATGCAACATTACAAAAACAGTCTCTCAGAAAAGTCAAAATTCCAAAGTTTTACATTGCTTCTCTTGCTGTTGGGTGTGTCACTTTTTCCTTGGCTTATACCAGCAATTAAAATCGACACGTGCATATTATCTGAAATTCTGGCATGATCCTTATTCCATTATTTCTTTGAACTAAATATCCTCATCATTCTGATTTTGTGACAAGAAAAAAAATTAATATTTCTGGATTAAACCAACGAGAATATTAATGTAAACAGCTCTTTGAATAATGACAGGAAATTTTGTCAATGCTTTTACAGATCATGTATTTCCTATATCAATGTACACAGCAGAGGCTAGAAATTGATAATTTTTATAAAACTATTTGTAAAATAAAGCCAAAAGTGTTTCAACATTTTTTTTCTCTTCCTAATTTTTCTATAATTGATTAAAAACGCTATCCATTTACTTGTCAATAATCCTAAAATGATTTTCTCTACAAAAATCTTAGATGTTTTTCTTTTTCAATTCATTGATTTTTTTTTTTTTTTTTTTTTTTTTTAACTTTTCACCTAAGTCTAAATTTTACCAGGTTACTGAAATTCATTTTCTGAGCTCTCTCCACAAGTTAACCTATCCAGATGAGTCTTCCCAGCTATGAAAATTTGGGATTTTTTTCTTTTCCAAACATACTGTTATTCCAGACCCCAAGTTTATATTTTATTTTCCACATTTTTTTCCAATCTGTCTGTTTATTCCAACCACTTTTTCTTTTTGTTTCCAAAACAAACAAATTTTTCAACCTCCTGTTTTATTCCAAGCTTAAGAGTATATACTGGTAGAATTAAGCTCAGGGGATATAACAGGAGCCTTTTTATTCATAAATATCTGGCTTTGATAATTTCCATACAAACAAAAACATATTCATGTCCTGTTTGATAGCATTAGGTTAGTTACTCTGGAAACAGTTTTTTAAGGTCTTTTGGGTTTTTTTTGTTTTTTGTTTTTTTATAAAATTAGTAATTAGAATTCATCATATTAAAAATAATATCATTAAAAAAAGCAGCAATGGTTTCAATAATTTTTCCAAGAAAACCACACAGACTCTGAATTTTGCATTTAAAAATTTTTTTTTAAATTTTAGTTTTTTTTTTAAATCCTTTTAGTGAATATGTTGGCTTCTGTTCTAGGTCGTAAGCAAAGAAGGATAACTTGCACTAGGGATGATGGTTTGATTGTATCTGACCAGCGATGTGAAGCTCAGCCTCGACCAAGACAAGTCATACAACAATGTAATACACATTGTTCTATCAGGTAATTTGCCAATTTCATTTTACTTTTTTTCTTTCCTCTAGTTTTTTTTTTTTTTTTTTTTTTTTTTTTTTGCTCTGAATGCAAACACATATGACAATCTTTGAATTATAATCCAAGCTACTGAAAATTCCCACATGCTGCTTCTTTTATATACCATATTCCTTCAGGATGGTGACTATTATAGATCTCCACAATTTCCTATCCTTCTCAGTCCCTCTATATGCATTTGTTAGGTAGGTTAATCACTGTTTCCATTTGCCCCTTTTACTTTTAGTATGTCCTGTGAGTGTCAAATTCCCCAAACCTTCCTTCCTCATTAGGTGACCTAAAAATCTCAACTGTCTCTTTATGATTCTAAGTATGTGTTCTTTTTATTTCCTTTTTCCTTTATAACTTTCTTGGTGCTTGTGCGTTAGGTCCATGGTATTTTCAGTATCCTTGAAGTATTGAGGGAAAATTAAGAAACACGTGTTATATTTAATGAAGCAAGATAAGAAATTTATTCACAAATTTATACGTTTGAAGTTGTCAGTAGCTTGTGTCAGGAAAAGAAATCAAATATTTGAAGTTCGTAGTTTCAATGAATTGCAAGAGAAAATGTTCATAAATCATCAGACACAAAGTAATATTCCAAAATGTTTAAAACAAATTGAGAGAGTTCATTTTCATATAAAAGTTATATGGTTGTATTCAACATGAATGACAAGACATATTTTAAGGTATTTAGCTTTGGAGTTGAATAAAGTTCTTTGAAATGAGAGCAGTTGCCCTGCTCTCATTAGAGGCCAACTTTGTATCTGCATGTAATCTGACACTGGCGTTATTCAGATGCATGGAACTCTGGACTTTTTACATCTTGCTTCTTTCTGCTTTCTTTCTTTCTCTGCCTTGATTCAATTTTCTCTGCCTATTTATATTGAAAAATGATTTCACATCAGCTCGTTTCTTTTTTCACAGTTTGTAAGCCTCTCCCTTTTCTATTGGTTAAAATAAATTTTCACATATGCTCGTTAAACTTTGCCTTGGTCTTTTCTTCAGCCAGGAGCCAATTCCTTTTTCTATTAGTCAAAATAAATTTTTGCATAGGCTCACAAATTTGAAAACAATGGAGAAAAGATTTATTTTTATTTTGTATTCACCACATCCTTCCGCAGGACCACATCTTTGTTGCATCAAGTTACTTCATTTGTGAAGAAAGATTGATATTACATAACAGTTCAGCACTCTTTTCTTTATTTCTTAATGATATTTTCCTGGTTTTGTTTTCGTATCTTTAATGCTTTACATAAGTTTAAAATGATCTTCTGTTTGCAGTTTTCTTCTCTCATGTGCTTATTCATTTTTCCCCTCTGTTCTAGAGAAATTATTTAAGTCTCATTCCTAGAAAATTCTCTCTTCTTTATTTATTGCATTATATATTTATATATATATATATATATATATATATATATATATATATATATAATGTGTGACATCATTTGTTTACATTTGATACGGCATGAGAAGATATAAATGTACATGAGATTCATGGATGATTGAAGTTTAAAAGCAGTAAATTCGACCTTGCTAACCGAATGATCCTCTGTGGCCGAATCAGTTAATAGGCATGTCAGGCTATATGACGGTTCTGTATAGGATACAGGTTCGAATCCTGTCTGAGGACAAATATTTTCTATGAAAAATTTCTCAGACATCCAGGCCAGTAAATGTTGTTTAATACTGTTTATTATAAACAGAGCATTTACTTAAATATTTGTATCTATAAAAAGAATGTATAAACATAAAATGTCTTATATGTACATATATATGTACATATTAAAATACTTTGTTCTTATATATATATATATATATATATATATATATATATATATATATATATATATATACACACACACACACACAGAGGTTGTGATGGGTAAAATGTTGTCATTTTATATTTTTAATTTTGTGCATGTGCCTTGTTTGTTTTTAATTTTTATTGACTGTACATTATAATAGTCAGTTGCTGTGAGAAAAATAGCACTATGATGCAATTCACTCTGTCAGAAATTTGGAAATGGCATGCTGTACTGCTTGGCATTTGCTCCGGAAGCTCCAATGTGAACATTTCAGAGTGTTTGGGTGTCAATTTAAGGACAGTGCAGAGGATTCAGGAAGAGTTGGATGAGACTAAGGGTGATTATGAAGGTATGGCAGTTCGAAAACTCTCTAGTTGTTCTGATAAGAAAAGAACTCCTGGATTTGTTGGTGTGGGCCTCAGGCTCAATACAGAGGCCTACATCAAGTGCCTTGTGTTGCCCCGGGTCAAGAGGGTGGCTGCTAGAAGACTCTATGTTTAGCAACAGGGCTTTGCATCATGCCACACAAGCAAGAGGACTCAGTCATGGGTGTCAGACAATTTCTGTGACCGCATCACTCCTTACATCTGACCACCTAACTCCCCAAACAGCAACCCCTTTCATTATCATATGTGGGGCACAGTTGAGCGAGAGACCAACAAAACTCCTTGTAACACCAAAGATGAACTGAAGGCAAGGATTATGGCAGAATTTACCATCTTAAACAAGGAGACTGTCCAGAAGGGTTGCAGGAGATTCTGAAGTCGCCTAGAGGCTGTGTTTGAAGCTAATGGTGATTTTATTGAATAAATTTACTCTTTAGTATTTCAAGATATTTTTGTGTAATTTTGGTAAAAATATATCTGTTAAAATGAGATGTCAGTGTTATTTTCATTCTTGTGTAATTTATACAAGAATTTATTCCTCACACCCTGTATAGTCATGTATTTCTGGTTTATTGTATTATCCTAATACACACAGGTATATATAAGATAACAATATATAAATTTTTCTATATCAGCAACAATATTGGCATGGGGGATGTAATACAAAGTGGAAAAAAGGTTTAGTGTGACATGTTTCATCCTTTAGGACTTCATCGGACTAAATTTGTTATGTTCAAACTGTAATGATAGAAGATCTGCCAGGAATGGTAAGATGTAAGAGCCAGGGTGCAAATTTACTGTAGATGACCTTGTGATCAAGGTACTATCTGAACATTTTTGTTGTAGTGAATTGTTTTTTTCTTTTATCAGAGTAGCATTTTTTATGTCAAAATTGTGGTCAGTCTTGTTACAGTGAGCAACTAATGCATTGAGCAGGTTATTTTGTAAAATGTCCCTTTTGTGTTCATATAATCTTTTATTTAGATTCCCTGAGGATTCTCCTATGAATTTTTTGTGACAATTATTACAATTGATCAAGTAAATTTCTCCAAGTTTTAGCTTTCTGTTTTGTTTAGTATTGACTAAGTCTTTTATTGTTTTAGATGTAGTATTAACAAAATGACCCAGAGTGGTAGCACCTGTTAGGGTCCCAGCTATGGGTAAATAGTTTTCCCCCTCCCTTGATCTGGAGTTTGGATACTAGGAAAGTGTAAGAATGAGTTTTTTGTAATAATAATACCATCAACACAAATTGCAGTATATAAGGTGCACATTCACAAAACCTGATTTCAAAAAGCTAAAATTTCCCCTAAATGGGGCTACCCGTTTGCCGTGGGTGGTGACCTGTGATGCCTGGGGATGGAGTCCTGGTGACAGTGATTCCTGATCTGGTATAAAATGACCAGGAGTTTCCACAACATGTCACTTCAGTCCCTACCTGGGATAGACAGGTGGATGGAATAGCCCAATCCATTCCAATCGGCTAGTCACATAGTGGCAAGGGCTAGTTGGGATGATAGACAATGGGTCCAACAGGGCCATGAAACCTTACATCATACTATACTTGGGTAGATGTGATGAGAGTGCAAGTGTTCATATCCACTCTCATCACAACTATACTGTCTGTGTAGCCCTGGCAGATTAGGGCGAATGGGATTAGTCCCCCCATGATAGCGTCCCTTAAGAAGGAACTCTGAGGTGGGTGAGGAGCGCAGACTGCGAATACAAAAATTAAAATTATATGGCTATTTCTTATAAACAAACCAAGAGACAATATGAGACTTCTGAAAGCGAAAATGAAATAGAAAAAAATCAATTTCCAACTGTCATTATTGTAGAATCAGTAGAGGGTGATATATCAAAAGTGTCTCCTTTCATGTTGCAAAGGGTTATTTCAGACATGATCAAACCACAATCTCTTAAAAAAAAATAAAGAAAAATAATACTCTATTGATTCAAGTGATATCCAAAAAGATGCAGAGAAATTGCTAAAAATCAAGCAAATTGACAAAAATAAAGTCGTCCTACACCCATCTATTTCTTAATTCATCAAAAGGAGTAATAAAATGCTCAGAACTGTCACTTTGTTCATCAGAAGAAATTGAAAATGATGACATGATAAAAAAGCAAGTAGTAACAGATGTTAAAAGAATGCAAGTAAAAAGAAATGACACAGTAATAAACACTAACACATATATTTTGACATTCGACAAACCGACTCTACCAAAAGAAATAAAGATAGGTTACACAATAGCCAAGGTAGAGCCATACATTCCTAATCCCTGTAGATGTCATAAATGTAAAAAATTTGGTCATCTTCAAAATGTTTGTACAAGAACATCAGTCTGGCGAAGATGTGGGGAACCGGAAACTGAGCATGATGAATCACCTTGTGAAAGGCCTTCTTTATGTTCAAACTGTAAAGAAAAACCTTCAGCAGACTCCAAAGAGTTTAACATTTGGAAAAAGGAAATAATTAGAAGAAAATACATACAAAATATCTCATTCCAAAAAGCCAGGAATCAATCTAATTCACTTCAAGCATCATATACAAATATCACTAAAATATCAAATCAAGAAAAAGTCCTCCAAGAAAACAATGCATTAAGAAGCCAAGATCTTATAACTCTTATTAACGAATTAATAAGTTTAATAGAACTACTAAAATGTAGTATATCACTCATAAATCAAAATGCCCATAGACAAAAAAAATCTTGTCCCGTCAACTTCAAACAAAAAGTCTCTACATATACAAAACAATTAACTCCGAAAATTC